TCCAGATTTATTGATGTATAATTGATTTATTGAATTGCTTCCAAAACATAGGGTGTGGAAATATAATCATCAAAAAAACATCAGACAAACCTGAATTGAGGGGCATTTTACAAAATACCTGACCAATACTCCTCTGAACTGTCAAGATCATGGGAAACAAGAAAAGTATGAGAAACTGTCACAGGCCAGAGGAGACTAAAGAGACATGACTAAATGTAATGTGGTATCCTGGAAGGGATCTTGAAACAAAGAAACAGACATTAGTGGAAAAACTGGTGAAATCCAAATAGTCTGGAGTTTAGCTAATAGTACTATACCAATGTATCAGTGTTGGGTTCTTAGCTGTGACAAATGTGCCACTGTGAGGTAAGGTGTTACAATAGGGGAAACAGAGTGACAGTTATATGGGAACTCTCTATATTATATCTGCAAATTTTCTTTAAATATAAAATTATTCCAGAATTGAAGTTTATTAAAATAAAAAAAACTAAGAACAAGCATTTTGGAGGTCCTGGATTTAAAATGAAGTTGTTAGATGAATCAGTATTAACTACTTTGTGTACAGCCTATGAGGTGAGCACTATGTAGGAAAGCTTAAACAAAAGGCATGGCCCCTACCTTCAGGTGGTTTAGCAACTACTTGAAGAGATGAGACTTTGACATGTGAAAAGATTAGCAATGATTGGTATTATTTGATTAAGCTCCAAACTGGGTGATACTGACTGTAGGAGGTCAGAGGGAGAAGGCTGGAGTGGCCACCAAGGGTTTCACAGAGGGAGTGCACCTGGATGAATAAGTTAGAATTGTATCAGTAGAGAGAGGGAAGACTTGCAGTAGAAGGTAACAAAGAGAAAAGCACTAAGGTCTTGGGCACAGCAAACTCAGGGAAAAATAAAGGCAGCTTGATGTTGTGTGGCGCCCAGGGAATGCATATTTTTAGAGAAGATAGAACATTATGCAGAACCTTGAAAGTTAAGCAGTAGGGGGTGAGGTTGAAACTGGCCACAGGGAACCAGTGTAGCAGCAGTAGGATTACAGTATATGTTTTGATTCTGTGGCTTTCAGCCTTTTGCCAAATTTTTCTATTATTTATTAATCTGCTAACACTTCACTCAGCATGTACATTTGATAAGACTATGTGGGGATGAAATTCACCTGCAAGAGATGAAAGTACAGTCATGCTCATTTTCTGAATTAAAAGGGCTTTTCTTGAGTAAATGAAATTTCAGTTCTGAATAATCTCATCTTATAAGATAATGAGAATTTGGGAATGATTCCTGAATACCTTTCTTACCTGGCACTTTTCTCTGTCCATACTGTTTCCCAGAGTCAGAAGGAACTTTAGTCCTGCTGTTACTGACTCAGTAAAAGCTTGTTTTTACTTTCTTTTTTTTTAAAATTATATATGTATTTATTTATTTATTTTGGCTGCATTGGGTCTTCATTGCTGTGCACGGGCTTTTTCTAGTTGTGGCGAGCGGGGGCTACTCTTCATTGTGGTGCACGGGCTTCTCATTGTGGTGGCTTCTCTTGTTGTGGAGCATGGGCTGTAGGCACACAGGCTTCAGTAATTGTGGCACACAGGCTCAGTAGTGGTGGCTCGCAGGCTCTAAAGTGCAGGCTCAGTAGTTGTGGTACACGGCCTTAGTTGCTCCGTGACATGTGGGATCTTCCCGGACCAGAGCTCAAATCCATGTCCCCTGCATTGGCAAGCAGATTCTTAACCACTGCTTCACCAGGGAAGTCCCTGTTTTTACTTTCAAGTGAGTAGTGCATTGTGTTCAGATAATTTTGCTCTTTGAAAAGGTTGTTGGACTTTCTTTTTTTAAAGTGATGGGTACACTGCTTATTTTAAAAAATAAAGAATGGGAGGGGTCTGATGCCCTTGCACTTTCTCATCTGTTTCTCTGTAAATTTAAAGTACAGAAATATGCCTCTATACCAGCTTTGCCCACTCAGAACTATTAAGTGACCGAGCTCTTGACAAAGGGAGACATGGGCTACATTGTTTTCAGTGTAGTCAACAACAAACCAGAGACCTCATGACATTGCATTCAGTTCTTCTGTGTGCATGCTGCCCATGTGCAAGCAAGCCCACAAGTTGGTGGGCTTAGGAATTCAATGGGGTCATTTTAGACTGGTCAAGGGGAAAGAGACCATAATAACTAGGAAATCAAATTCAGTAAATGAGGCTATTTGGAAGAGAACATAAGATATCTCAGCTTTTATTGTCTTTCTATTTTGTATCACATAGTTTAGAAGAACTCTTTCATATATTTCCGTCTTATTTCCCCAGCAAGATTGGGAATTCTAATATGTACTGCATGTAGTGAAAAAGAACAGGGTTTTGCAGTCAGATATCTTTATATTTTTAATTTAGTACAGGCAATTAATAGATCATTCTTCTCGCGCAGGTATCTTAACCTATCTAAGCCTCAATTTCTTTTGTTGTAAAATGGGGATAATCATACTAACCTTTCAGAATTGTTATGAGGATTTCTGGGGATATATGTACATAGCCTCACAAAGAGTTTGGTACTCAGCAAGCACTCAACAAGTCTTAGTTCCCTTTCTCCTTAAAGGTCTTTATCTGGTACAAATCTTAACCCAGTACTAACATATAATAAGGCTTGGAAATTTCCTCTTGGGATTATCTTGGGAGGCCATTCCTGCAGCTTTTTTGTGTACCCCTCTATTAGAATTATATAAGGACAACTCTGGCAAAATTTTAAGGCAGACAAAGAAACTTCACTGTTTCCTTGCCTTACTTCTCTCCAGGCAATCCCTCCCTCCACTTCAAATATGAACACTGTCTGCCCTTTCTATGAAGACCAAACTGGTAACTGGTCACGGTAGAGTTTCAAGCATCAGAAGAATTGAATTTTAGGGTAGATGGTACTCCCAGTGCTCCTTGTTTCACAGCCTCCTGGGTCTACACATACAGCCATCTCTGAAGGAAATGGAGAGAGACTGCAGTTCCTTCTGACTCTGGAAAAAGCTCCAGATAAGAAAGGGCTGGATCCTCTTTAATAAGTGGTGCTGTGAAAACTGAACAGCTACATGTAAAAGAATGAAATTAGATCACTCCCTAATACCATACACAAAAATAAACTCAAAATGGATTAAAGACCTAAATGAAAGGCCAGACACTATAAAACTCTTAACAGAAAACATAGGCAGAACACTCTATGACATAAATCACAGCAAGATCCTTTTTGACCCACCTTCTAGAGAAATGGAAATAAAAACAAAAATAAACAAATGGGACCTAATGAAACTTAAAAGCTTTTTGCACAGCAAAGGAAACCATAAATGAGGAAAATACAATGCTCAGAATGGGAGAAAATATTTGTAAATGAAGCAACTGACAAAGGATTAATCTCCAAAATATACAAGCAGCTCATGCACCTCAATATCAAAAAAAAACAAACAACCCAATCCAAAAATGGGCAGGAGACGTAAATAGACATTTCTCCATAAAAAGAGAAACAGATGGCCAACAAACACATGAAAAGATACTCAACATCACTAATTATTAGAGAAATGCAAATCAAAACCACAGTGAGGTATCACCTCACACCAGTCAGAATGGCCATCATCAAAAATTCTACAAACAATAAATGCTGGAGAGGGTGTGGAGAAAAGGGAACCCTCTTGCACTGTTGGTGGGAATGTAAATTGATACAACCACTATGGAGAACAGTATGGCGGTTCCTCAAAAAACTAAAAATAGAACTACCATATGACCCAGCAATCCCACTCCTATGCACGTATCCAGAGGAAACCATACTTCAGAAGGATACATGCACTCTGATGTTCATTGCACTATTTATAATAGCCAGGACATGGAAGCAATGTAAATGTCCACTGACAGATGAATGGATAAAGAAGATGTGACACATATATACAATGGAATATTACTCAGCCATAGAAAGGAACGAAATTGAGTTATTTGTAATGAGGTGGATGGACTTAGAGTCTGTCATACAGAGTGAAGTAAGTCAGAAAGAGAAAAACAAATACCGTACACTAACACATATATATGGAATCTAAAAAAAACAGTACTTATGAACCTAGTGACAGGGCAGGAATAAAGACAAAGATGTAGAGAACGGACTTGAGGACACAGAGGGCAAGGGGAAGCTAGTATGAAGTAAGAGAGTAGCATTGATATATATACACTACCAAATGTAAAATGGATGGCTAGTGGGAAGCTGCTGCACAGCACAGGGAGATCGGCTTCATGCTCTGTGATGACCTAGAGGGGTGGGATAGAGAGGGTGAGAAGGAGGCTCAAGAGAGAGGGGATATGGGGATATATGTATACATATAGCTGATTCACTGTGTTGTACAGCAGAAACTAACACAACATTGTAAAGTAATCATACTCCAATAAAGATAAATTTTAAAAAGAATGGGCTGGATAGATGAGATTTTTCAGAACTAATAAAGAAAAGCCTTTTTAACCCAGAAAATTAGGCATGACTGTATTTTCCTTACTGTGACCACATTAAGACATAGCTGTTTTTGAGAAACTACCTTTAAATATCTACATTCTCCTCTTTTCACACAAGGCTCTACTGAAATTACTTGAGCCTTAACATCTCTAGACATAATGTGGTAGAATTGCAACTGAAAAAGAAAGTAACAACAGTATTTGGGGAGGCAGACAGCAGTAAAATAGCAAACCTTACATTGTGCTCTTATGCTGCCACATCTTGGAACATCTGCCAGGAGAACTCCAGGGAGCTAGGGGTAGAGATGGGAGATCAACAAGAAAATTCTTAATAGTCTTACCCTAGATTTGTTGTAGACTTGTTGGTAAAGAGATGTGAATTACAAGTTTTACATGGCTGATTGTGACCAAAGCATTTTTTAAAATATTGCAAAACAGGCAAGCTGAAAACAAGTGTTTCTTGCTGTGGTTATACCATTAGATTAAGCAGTAGGAAGCCAGTGGCTTAAGGACTCATGACAGTATTTATTTAAAATGCACACAGATCTCTTTGTTTACCAAACGACTACACAGTGGCAACACTGCAGTAGTCTAGTGCCAAACAGACTAACTGGGGATTCAGACTTGATTTTCCTTTTGGGTGTATTTTGTAAGTAGATTAGTAAAAGACTGAAAAGGCAGCTTTAAATTCTACTTGTTCATGCTTCCTTCACCCCACTCTTAAATCGATAGGCACTGGCTAGGCAAAGACAGTCTTATTATTTAACTACAAATTAGCGTAGCCCTTCTTTTGACAGCATTTGAAACAAACAGAACCAATTGAAAGGAATTTATATATCTGAATTTCTCTTTGCAGAAGTTGACTGGGTCACAAATTATAACCTATTTAAAAAGACAATACACACCCACACAAGTGTTTATTCATTGAGACTTCAATTATGTGTAAGAATTTAGTCATAGAAATTATGAGCATCCATTTAGAAAGTTTCCAAGTTTATTTTGTAATACTGTACCTTTATTGTTCTAGTTCAATATGCTGTAATATTTGTGAGCTAATTTTTCACAGCTGGACAATTATATTAAACTTTACTAAGTACATCATGCTTTCACTAAAACCATAGCCTGCATGCAATATAGATGGATGTAGTATGCAGCATGTGTGCTGTCATTATTAAGCTTAGTCTAAGTGGCATCACTCATAGCAATAAGCACTTGCTCTCTCTTTTAAGTTCCTTGCACTCTTGGCTTTGTCATTCACTTGACTCCTCTCATCTGACCACCTTAGCTTCATATTTAAATACCATGTTATAATTGAAAATTTTAATATATCTGTGTCTAATACCTCCCCCTAGATTGTAATTTTAGGAGGGAATCTGCTATTTTTCTTTAGACATTTTAAAGAACCTGATAAATTTCTTACATACTTAAGAGAGGCACCAAAGAAATATTGTTGAATAGCTATTAAATACAGTTTCAGACAATCATTTTAGATTTTAGTGCATCACAGTTGGAACCTCTGTTGATCTTCAATAAAGTGTTAGCTGAGAAAATGTGACAGGTTGATTATAAAACAAGACAAAACCCCATCTTGATTAAATGTGTTGTAGCTCAGCACTTTCATGAAAAAGACTCTTGTTTACTTGTTCAGTTTCTGTTCCAAATGATGAAAATTGACACATAGAGTCTTGTAACATTCTCAAGGAAATATTCATTTCTGTTAACTGTATGATGCTTATTAAGACAGGAAGTAGACTCAGGTCATTTGGAATGACTTTCAACAAAGGCTAAAATTAAGAGAGTCTTGTAGATAACCGGGAAACACACCTTGCCACTACTCAAACTTTTGAGTTAATTGCACTTGAGGTTATTGATATGCATCAGCTATCTTTTCTTCTTCATGATTAGATGTGAGCATTTCAGTGAAAAAAAGAAAAAGTTGGGTTGATAAAAGGATCTGAGAACTGAAAGCTCTTCAATCCACTTGTGAGACAACATTAACAACAAAATAATAGAGGGAAAACTATATATCTTCTGTTAAACCACAAATCTTGATCCATGTCTGAATTCATTTCTGCTAGTTCATTAACACATTTTTTTGTTGAATATGATAAAAAATAATAAAAGCTGTTTGTTCAACAATATAACTTCTTGTCCTTTGGGCCCTAGATTAAGAAGAAACAGCAAGATGTGCTTGGTTTCTTAGAAGCTAACAAAATAGGATTTGAAGAAAAAGATATTGCAGCCAATGAAGAGAATCGGAAGTGGATGAGAGAAAATGTACCTGAAAACAGTCGACCAGCCACAGGGTACCCCTTGCCACCTCAGATTTTCAATGAAAGCCAGTACCGTGGGGTAAGGAACCAATTAAAATTCTTGTTTTTTTAAAAAATGGATTGCCTCAAACCCATCCACTTTCTTTAACTCCCACCCCAAATCTACACACAGTCATTTCTCCTGTTCATCCTCTACATCCATCCTAGGCAGCTAGGGTATTTTGTCTTCTACTAGAAGACAAATGGATGAGTCATTCACCAAAAAATTATCTGTGAATATATAAGTACAGACCAGAGTATTTGTATTATTTCTGGTATGTCCATAAAGAAGCCACTGAAAAGAGGTGAGCTGTTTTACTTATTTAGATTAAAATTAGTTTAAAAAGAGGAATATCTCAGTTTCTGCTTCAAGGTAGTAAAACTTTTATTTGAGTATTATTAATGAATTTTCTTAAAATTTTGAGTTAGCTAATTGAACTAATGTATGGATGAGGGAAACAAGAGTAGAGTTTTTACTTTTTCACTGGTGCTTTCAAGTTTGTCATCTTGGTTAGCCTTCATTTAAACCATGAAGTAGTTCCCTTCAATGTTCATTCACTGTGTATTTAAGTAACATTTGTAGCCTGTGGCCATTCTAGGTACCATGGCAAGTACAAGTATGTATAAAACAAAGCCTCTTTTCTTAAAGAGATGATTGGCAGTGTTGTGTGGGTAGAATCAAACACACCTGAAACAGAGAGAGTGGTTATGAGGCCACATCCATGTGATGACATGGTACAGAAAGCATATGTAAGGGCTATAGGAATTTCCAGTAAAGAACTGTTTGCTTTGCTGTGTCCTCAGAATTAGCATAATTGAGGAACAAATGTTTTTAGAGCCAGCAATCCAAATCTTCTAACTCATGTGTTTATATGGGAGTGAGAAGGAGAACACCTAGGGGAGGGTATGGCAAAATTGAGAAGTTCATTAGCATAAAATATTTTCTCTGTGAATTGAATTTGTCACTTCTGAGGAGGGGCCAGAAGATTTCTTCTGCTGCTGCAAACAGGGCCAATATGTAAAGACATACTATGTAGATAAGGAAAAGACAATTAGGCTATTCATTTAGATGGTGAAACCTCAGTGCTTCTATATTTGAAATTTCTGCAAATTGTTGACTCTCAGGGGCTGAAACAGGCCTCAGAGGTCATCCAGTCCAATCTAAGCCAGCATATATTGTCTTAATCTCTCCTTTTTGAAGCAGGAATTTCAATTTGTTTGACTTTTAAAAGAAACACATTTGGGGTTATAAGGGTGATGTTTGAGAAGCCAGATTTACCCGGTTTATTTCTCCCTCGGAAGCCATACTATAAGGGAATGGAGTATGTTATGGAAAAAAAGGCAAGTATCACTGAGAAATGGGAAGATGAAAAGGAAGGTGCAGGAGGTGAGACTCAAATCAAACCAATATTTGTTAATGGAAAAGGAATCCATTTTCTATTGAGTGCCTGCTGTGTGCCAGGCACTGAGTTAGGAGTTTCATAACAATAATTAAGATTTGTCCCTATACAGACGTTAGGGAGAAAAGTATATAGCAACCATTCATAGAAAGCATATAATATGTCAGCTATTGTGCTACATACTTTATGTGTATTATAATAATCAGTTCTCATACTAATCTCATGAGGTGTAGATATTGTTATTCCTGTTTCATAGATGAAGATATTGAGGCCTAGAAGAGGTTAACTAACTTCCTAAATCATACAATTATTAAGTGATGCAGCTAGAATTTAAACCTAGATCTGTCTTATTCTGAAGTTCTTACTCATTCTATTAAACCACTGTGCTGTTAATTTTCCTGTATACTCAAAGATCCCATCTTCGTTCTTTTCTTGTTTCATTCTGTATTGTGGGAGGCTGACCTCAGCAAATTACATTTCCCAGTGTCCATTGCCAACTGGCTGCCTATTAGGTTTGGTCAGTAATAGGATGCACTGGTTGGATGAGTGGAGGGCAGGAGGAGAGGAAAAGCCAAGGTATCCCCCCTTTTTCTGGAGGTGTCCATGGCAGTCACTACATCTCCTTTGTGGTACCAGCTCTGTAATACTACCTTCTTCACTTTTCCCTTCAGCAGTAGCTGTGGTAGCAGCTTCCTGCTATTTCTAGTCTCTGGGCTGCCTCACCGTCTCCTGTCTGCCTTTCAGCTCTTTAATCTTTTGTAAGTGGTTCTTCATATTAAATTCCCTTGTTTAAACTATCCCAAGGTTTCTCAACCTTGGCACTACTGATGTGTTGGGTTTATGGGGGCTCCCTTGTGCATTGTAGAATGTTTAGCAGCATCCCTGGCTTCTATCCATGAGTGCTAGTAGCACCCTCCCAGTTGTGAAAAAACAGAAATGTTTCCAGATTTTGCGAGACATCCCTGGGGGAAAATTACCTCCTTTTTAGAATCATTGAGCTATAGCTTAGGTTCTATTTCCAGGTTAGGATGTGACTGAAACAATTACCCTGCCAACATAAATGAAGCTCTGCTATAGACGATACAAAATTTTTAAGGGTAATCTTTGTTCTGAAAGAGCTTATGCTGTGTATATGAAGAACTAAAGCACATTTTCATGAAATAATTAATATGATACAAATATATGGTAGAATACATTCTGGATTAATGTTATTGGAATCCCAAATATGTAAATAAAGTATATTTTCCTCAAGAGAATTCCTATAGAAGAAGCAGACTATGTTTTGTTTACTCTTGTATTCTTAGCACCAGGAACAGTGATTGGCATGTAGTAGGTGCTCAATACATATTTGTGCAATAAATTAATTAATCCTGATTAATTGAGAAGCTGATATTCTTTCCTCAGAGCTACAAATCTGTTTGTGTGTGCTAAGTTCAGGGCCAACAAATAATGTACTGTGATCCCCAAACACCTGAAACAGAGATAACTAGATTACCCTACATAGTATTTTATGATCAGATTTCAGTGTATTTGAAGACCTGCTTTCTTTCACATGAGTTTAAAGATTGACACAGACTGTTTTTATTGATTTGATTATAGTAAGAAATGTCTCTTGTATAACTGTTAGGTTCTTTTAACTAGCATTTTGAGGTTACTTCCAAGTGGTTGAGTTTAGATATGATGTATATTGCTTGTTTACCTTGAGTAACTTATAGGTCATGTGTCTCAGTATGGATTTTGTATCAAGATCCAGTTAGTTTCACTTTTGAATAGTGAGTTCAAAGAATATAGGAGGCTGGTCATAAATGCCTGTTGTTTATGATTTAATCCTTTCTCAACATCTAGGGTACACAAAAAGATGCTTTGAGACAATCCTTGAGGAACTCTCTGTGGCTCTAAACAATACTGACTGTGTTAGAAGAGTCCCTAAATGAGAGAAATTCTGATGTTTCTTGAGTTAGGGGTCAGATTTAGGGTCATCAATGGCTTGAGAGGCCATAAACTTTATACCTCCAGATCCTCCAAGTACCAGGAACTATATATGCTAGAAAAGAACGTTGTAATTGGTGATCTGTTGGTGAGGCAATCTCTAGAGAAGCCAGCAAATTATCAGTACATTTTACCTCTAATAACTCAGCCAAAATGCCAAGCTTATCTCTGTGTTTTTGCGTTTTTTTAGAGAAATTTTTAAACACTTTATTTTTTTTTTTTTTTAATTTTTGGCCATGCCATGAGGCATTTGGGATCCCCGACCAGGGATAGAAACTGTGTCCCCTGCGTTGGAAGGGCAGAGTCTTAACCACTGGACCACCAGGGAAGTCCCTCTCTGTGTGTTTTAAGTCAAACAAACTAAGGCCAGGTATAGATAATGGCTGTGTTTTCTAAGTATATTTGCTATTGATTATATGTCATAGTCAAATGTAGGCAGTTCAGTTATTACTTTTGGAGCATGCATGGTGGTTTAGAGGATGACAATGGGAAGCCCAACTGAATTTAGTCACGTGAACCTTTTATTGGATCCCCGGATTGTTTGTTCTTCCAGTCATATTTCATGAAAATCTCATACCCTTCCTCTGAACACAGCACAGATTTACTATTCTTATGGCCATCGGATAGCTAAAATCTGGTCTGCTGTAGGTTCTGAGGGCATCTCTACCTTAATAAATAATGCAAGAGAAATAATGGCAAACTGGAACAATAGCCTCCTCCCAAAAGTAAGCAACATCTTACTGGCAAATAGTTGGCTGCTTTGGGCTATGGAGAAAGCTGCTTGCCCTGAGGCAGATTTAAGTTCTATGCAGTATGAAATAAGTCCTTTTGCTATTTCTGTCTCACAGATCAGCATATCTTCTAACCCACATTAATTGGGATCCAATAAGCCTTGACTCTTTACTACTCTTTCCAGAATTCTAGCATTATTGAAGTTAGCTAGCCTGTTTGCCTTCAAAGATATTGACCAGTCAGATAATTTTGAATTAATTTCCCCTTTTCTTTCCTTTTTTGGTTGTATATTGCTAATTCTTGTTGCCTTCTTTTATCAAGGACTATGATGCCTTCTTTGAAGCCAGAGAAAATAATGCAGTGTATGCCTTTTTGGGTTTGACAGCCCCACCTGGTTCAAAGGTATGATTCATTTTTCCCCTTCTTTGTAGGCCATTTTATTGCTGCTGGGTTTTTTTAATCAGTAAGATTTGCACTTTATTAAGTACTCAGATTAAGCCAGAGGCAGTGCAACATAGTTAAAAGGAAATGTGCCTGCTCCGCATGCACTTAATCCCTAGTAGGGAAGACAGATGTGCATAATTAAATACATAAAGTATGTGGATAGAAGGTAGGCCGAGTGACTTCCCTATCAAGCTGCCCAAGGCAGCAAATTTCTTATTGACCCATTCGCAAATAAGTGGTTAACAATTATAAAGACACCATTATTCCAGTTGCCATGTATGGTATTACGTGGACAGAAAGCATCTTAGTTCAAAGTAATCTTCTTGTCAGTATCTATTGTCCTTGTGTGACATCAAATGCTAGAGTCACATATTCAAATTAACTAAGAGCATTTGAGTATCAAAACTCGTCACTAAATTGCTGGCTGAATTTGGAGCTTTTCCCCTGCCAAAAACAAATTAATTTTTCAAGTGGTGATGTTCCCAGGGAAGATCATACAAAGAAAAATATAAAAAACTAAGTTGACTGTTTAAAAAAAATGTCTCAGAGCTATGGACTTTACATATGCGTTTGCCTTTTACCATATTTCTTCTCCACAAAGGCTGGTTTAATCAAAGTGTATGTCCCCTGCTCTATCATTTTACATTTTGTTCTCAGAAGCTAATTTTTGTTAAACAGATTCTTCAAACTCCAGCTCCTTCTCCAGATTTGAGAGTCTGTGTTATTGTCTGTATTTTCAATAGAGACTGTTTAGAGGCATTGTTGTCTGAGTCACTATGAAATTCTGTTATCTTGCCAAACTTTTGTTTCCCATGGATAAAATGTCTTATTTTAGGCTTTGTATAATTTAAGTTGTAGGAAATCTTAGGTAAGGCATTTTTCTTTAAACAAGTTAGTAAAACCCAAGTTAAGTCATTGATTTCACTGCATATTAGAGAAAGTATAAAAGGAAGGATAGTCTGTTTTCTGTGACTGATGACTCTCTTTCCTTCAGTGAAAAGTATGAGCCATTCATTCATTTATCCATTCAATAAATATTTTCTGAGTGTCAAACATTGACTTGATACTGATGGTAGGGCAAATACGGAGAATACAACATAATCTCTACCTTCAAAGTGTTTATAACCTAGTGAGGGACATGTATACGAATAATTATACAACAAATATGTCTACAAATAATTATGATATAGTATGGTAAATTTTGTATGGTTGGTAAGAATAAAGTACAATAAGCATCCAAAGGAAATAATCATAAATTACTACTAAGGAGTTTGGGGAAGGTTCCACAGAAGAATTGGCATTTGAGCTGTTAGGGATTCTAAAACACTGAAGTAACACTAGGTGTCTTTCACAGTGGCTGCAATAGGAACCACTGCATTGGGATGTACCTGCACCCAATGGTATGTTCAGGGAGCAGAGTGTAATGCAACATGAATCTACTATAGAACATATTAAATAAGGGAGATGCATTAGGAGGTAATATTGGCTAGGTAGGATGGGGCCAGATTATGAATACTGTGCTAGATACGTTCAGCTTTATTCTCTAGGCATCTAAAAGCCATGGTAGGGAATGAGAGAAGACAATCTTTGTATTTTAAGATGTGATTTGATCTATGTCTTAAGAAAATAAATTTGGCAGATGTGTGGATTGTGAAACATTGGAGAAATGAGATATTAGAGGTGGGCTGACCCATTAGAGTGTTCCTTAAGAGTCCAGAAAAGCAATGGAGAAGGCCAAAAGTGGGACTGCAGTTACAGAAAGGAAAAGATGGATTTAGGAGACACAGAAAAATCACTTGTGATAGGATTTGGCAATTTAGGAGATGTTTATGTATGCAAAGAACTGGGAAGGATTGAAGCTATCTCTGAGGCTTCTAACCTGGGTGATAGGGAAATGAAGCAAAAGTCATGGAGGAAACAGAAAAGTGAGTGATCCAAGGGAGGAGTTAGTTTTGGAAAAGAGAGGTCATGCAGTTTTCTTCTGAGACTGGATAGAATGAAGAGAGAGGGATAAAAATAGAAATTTTAATGTGTGGGGAGGTTAGGGAAGTTCACATTTGAAAATGTCTTATCTTTAGTATGAGGTAAGAAGAATGATCATCTGCTAGGAGTGATGGGAAATTTGAGAATTGAAAAGATGCATTTGCTGAAAATAAGCTAATTTGCTGAAAATAAGCTAAAGAGTAGGCGAAGATCATGAATGGAAGGATGGCTGAGCAAGATGAAATTCCCTGTTGAAGTTAGAGTTGATGAGCCCAAAGTGGAGCCAGTCAGCTTGTTTACAGTGGTTTTTTTTTTTTTATTTCATCCTTGTTTAACCCTAGAAGTAGGAATAGAGTAAAAGGACAGCAGATGTTATCAAGGATTGAACTAGAGGGAGCTGATAGATCGGGATAAAGAAAAGAGGTCTGGAATTGACAGTGGAGTTGAAGGGTGGATTGGTAATAGGGAAATTTTGAATGTTAGTATTTAATAGGTTTTTCCCAAGATTAAAAGTGATAAATTTGATATCAGAAGGATGATTTTTCTATCCTTCAGCTCAGCTTTCAGAGTTTTCCCCTTTAATTTAACAGGACAATAAGTCTTCCAGAAAGAACTGGCTGAAAAAAAGGTATACGCAATAAGAAATACAACTAATTCACCTGCATTGGAAAAGTGCATTCATAATAAAAAGAAATGTGATAAAATGAGATACAATATTCATCTGTGAAGTTAACAAAGATAAAACAAAGTGATAATGCTCAGTGCTGAGAAGTGTGCATTAAAACATATTCTCTCATATATTACTGGTGATGATATAAATTGGTACTATTTGCAAACCAAAATAGCAAATATATATCAAGGACCTCAAAAATGTTTATAGTTCTTCATCCAGTAATTTTACTGGGTAGTAAGGCCTAATGAAATAATTCATACATGGAAAAGTCTTTATGGATAAAAAAATAAATCAAAATGTTATTTATAATCCTAAAAAATTTGAAAACAAGTTAAATGTCTAAAAATAGGGTCAACAGAAATGATTTATCCACTGAGTGAACTCATGCTCTCATTAAAAATGAGAGTTTGTGAAAAGTTACATTATAATGAGCTACAGAACTGTTTTTACTGTGTAATTAACATTCTATTGATAATTACATTTAAAATCTATGTATAGGACAGAAAGAGACTGAAAGGAACCATAGCTAATAATATGAATGTTTTTCTTTTTTCCGCATTTATTTATTTTCAAAATAATTAGAATACATTCTCTTTACATTTAAAAATTATTGAAAGCCAGTGCACTGGAAAGCTTGATATTTAAAAGTACCCAATGACAAATATTTCTATAAGGCAAGGAATCCTCTGTAAGACAAATAATATTTTTTATTCTTTTGTATATTAGATGCAGTTAAACATGGTATATAAATATTTGCTCTTTACTCTTCTATTAATACAGAAGATAATTTCATAGCACTAGCATTTCTTACATTGCAGTATAGTTGATAGTTTTGATATGGAATAAAATAATTGATATATTTTTACTGAAAAATAAAAATCCAGTGATGTTCATGTTGAGAGGAATACCACTCCTCTGGAAAAGCTGTGCTCACTAGTAGGTTGAGGGTATAGAACATGCTGGGTAAAGAAGTGTTCTCACTGGCTTTGGTTAAACCACCTAGCTCTAGGGAGGGGCCATGAAAATCTGCTTCTGCTGTGAGATTTGAAGCATTCCTATTTCCAGTAAGCCCATCCCATTTTATTGCATCTCCAAGAGAAACTGTATGTTAGTAACACTTAGCTGTGGTGTTGGTCTTAGTGACTAGGCAGAAAGTGGAGAAGAAAATGTTAGGAAAGAAGTCTGGATACCTGCAATGGAGCTACACAGTTCACATTCATCTCATTTTATCTTTACTCCGTCCTTATGAGCTAGGTGTCCTCAATACCATTTTACAGAGGAGGAAACTGATGCTTAGATAATTTAAGTAATTTGTCCAAGGCTACATAATAATTGAGTAGCAGATATGGAATTTGAACCCGGGATTATCTAACTCAAAACCAATGCATTTATAGAATGATGTATATAGTGGGAGTAGAGGGCAAGAACACATCATATGCCTGCTTCTAGAGCTCTCTGGTTGATTAAATAACTCATGATACTATAAATACTGGCTACTTACTTTTAGATAATAATAAAGCTTGTAGCACAATTTACATATTTGATGAATAAAACAATTAGAAAAGTAAATAATTTAAATATGTATTCTTAAAGACAAATTACAAAGAAATTTGAATTGCCTTTTGTTTTGGATTTTTGTGCTAGTAATTTCTTCCATTAAAAAGGATAAGTGAGAGCTAAGGAATTTATGACAAATTACAACAAAGATTGATAAGGGGGACTTTAGGGAACTAGGCTGTCTCCAAAATACTAGTTACTCAGAGGCATTACGTGCTCATAAGAAGAAGGACTTCACATTATCATGTGTTCACATTTTTATACCACTGCTTCCCCACCTATATATACTATGCTATTGAGGGGTTTTATTTATTTTTATTTTTTATATTAATTAATTAATTAATTTATTTATTTTTAGCTGCATTGGGTCTTCATTTTGGTGCACAGGATTCTCACTGTGGTGGCTTCTCTGATTGCAGAGCATGGGCTCTAGGTGTGCGGGCTTCAGTAGTTGTGGCACACGGACTCAGTAGTTGTGGCTTGCGGGCTCTAGAGCACAGGCTTGGTAGTTGCTGCACACGGGCTTAGTTGCTCCGCAGCATGTGGGATCTTCCTGGATCAGGACTCAGACCCGTGTCCCCTGCATTAGCAGGTGGATTCTTAACCACTGTGCCACCAGGAAAGCCTCACTGAGGGGTTTTAGTATAAAATTTATTGTGTTGTGTGAGGAAGTTTTTGGAAGCTTGTTCTATAAAATGAAACAAAATACATAATGTGGGTCTAAGGTATATTCATTTAGACAACCAAACACCATGTTAGAAATTTCAAAAGAGCTTAGGGAAATTTGTTTTTGGTTTTTGACTAAGAGTTTTGGAAGGTGAGTCAGTAGTGTATTACATATGTGTTTTGTTAAGGATGTATTAAGAATGAATTACACTGTCCTCTGGTTTCCTTCTTTCTATCATTTCTACCTCTCTCTCTCTTTTTTTTTTTTTTTTGGTAAAAATATAGCATCTTTTTTTTGTTTGTTTTTTCCCCTTCTTCTGGGGTTAGCATCAGAGGCTCATTTTGGAATATGCAGCTGCTGTCACTCCTCCTGAGACTGTCAAGTACTCAATTAGTGACAGATGTTTAGAGTGACATTGTCTAGCATACATGATTTCTACAGCTCAAGTCTGAGGTTTCTTTCACCAGAGTCACTCTTGCCACCCATCTTTATTTCCAGAAACTTTCCTTGAAGTGTATTTTGTGTCGAGTACTATGTTAAGTGCCAGAGCACACCTATAGGTCAGAGTTCCTATGCTAGAAGTACTCACCATCCACAGGAATAGAAAGACAACCTTACCTCTTCGAGCCTACTGCCATGAAATTTAAAAGCAACAATATTTTAGCAAATAACACATTTTCTAAGTAGCTTAATCCTTAAACAAAACTCACGTGACTGTAACTGTAGGTGACAATGTTTTTGAACACTCAAGTTTTGTGAAAAATCATTCAAAACGGAACTTAGCTATTTTTAAATAAAATGTCAACTATAATTGTAAATCACTTGCTTTTATGGAATTATAGACAGTCCTCTGTGACATCTGGTTCTAGGCAGAAGTTTCTATTTTTTAATTTTTCTATTAAGAATTTTTAAGCAGTCTTTTCTGGGGTCTATTTTTCTGATTTTGAATATTCTTAGCAATTTGAGGTAATATAGTCTAACCAAAATACACACAGATGCTTTGTGATATTTAAATCTGTGTTGTTTGTTTTTCATTTCAGGAAGCAGAAGCTCAGGCAAAGCAGCAAGCATAAACCTTAAACATTCTGCCTTAAGCATCCTGACAAAGGAGTCTCCACTGCTTTTTATAAAATAGAAAAATTATCTTGGCTTCAAAATAAATAGGCTTAATGTTGAAATAATAGATAGTTGTTGTTTTCACATGCAAACAATCAAAATGAATACATAATTAAAATGTGAGCATTATGATGAGGAGAATGGGAGTAGGTGTTATGGAATAGTATTGTTGTCTGCTAAGGCATTTTATGTACTTCAGTGATTTTAAAAAGCAAATACCTGTTCCCTTTTTTGATATTATTATTGCAGCTTAAGTATATCTGTAGCTCTACATTGAGTAACTTTAAAAGATGAGTGAGAAAGAAAGAATCTGTCTCTTGTTCCTAAATTGCCTCAATTTTAGTGAACAAAAATATGTACCTTTTTGATGTGAAATTATTGTGATTAAAAAGTAGTTGCAGATAATGTTTATGGTATGTCAGACATTGTAATTTCTGATGGTAATTATAACATTTACATTCTTTTGTAGTTAAAACTTCTATGTACTGAACCACAGGTTTTCTAGGCTTCTAAATGTAGCCTTTGATTGCATGTTTCAGTGATCAGAACAGATGACCTCCCACCAAAATAAAGATGTATTCAGTTGACAAATTTCTTGCTTAACTACACAGCTATGATGCAATCATGTTACTAAGTTGCTTGCCCCAGTGAAATATGCATATGTATGCTATGGAAGTAGGATGGCAAATAAGTTAAAAACGGCATCCTTTTGCAAAGAGTTCAGACTTTTTTTTTTTTTTTTCCGGTGCGCGGGCCTCTCACTGTTGTGGCCTCTCCTGTTGTGGAGCACAGGCTCCGGACGCGCAGGCTCAGCGGCCATGCCCGTGTCCCCTGCATCGGCAGGCGGACTCTCAACCACTGTGCCACCAGGGAAGCCCCAGAGCTCAGACTTTTAATTAAATATTTTAAAATAGGTTGGAACTAATTTTTCCGTTTTTAAAACCACTTGTGATCACGAATGCCACTATCTCTCAGATATTTGATCTTTTGGTTTCAGCTTAGGCATATATTGTATGAGTACATTAATCAAAGCAGAGAAAATCTTTTCTATGCCTCTATTCCAGTGAATAGCGTAAGTATCAGATAAAAGGATCAATTTAAAAAATGTTAATTTTGAAAACTTCTAAGAAGATAAGAAACATTATGGCCTAAATCACCCAGAAGACACATATATTGTACTTTAGTTCCACATTAATATTGTACTTTAGTTTCACATTACTAAAAGCAAACACCTTTTAAATTACTTTATCATATCTTTTGATGTATGCAAGTCTGTGCTCTTTCTTTGCCAAAATCAATATACAATGAAGACATGGCTTTGTTTACTGAGATTCAAACATGATGCAATGCTTTAAAATAAACTGAGTACTGTCAGAAACATAATTTTTGTGTTCGTGTTCATGGAGTTTCTAAATAGTGTAATAATAATTTTAGAAGGGTAATATATTTTTTAGATGGTGGGGAAGGAGAAAAGAGAAAATAATAGAAAGAAAACAATTTGAATAAACTTTCTAAATTTCCTATTTAGGACTCTGAATTTTGCAATACACACTAGAATCAAACAACTACTCCATTTTTTTGTGTACAAAAATATGCTATGGAGAACTCTAAAGTAAACAAGTTATCTTGTAATAAATTCTGGAAAATGCTAAAACATTTTTCAATATTTTCTCCTGAGCTTTATCAAATGCAGATGATGATACTTGCAATATTTTATGTGGGCATTTTTACTTTAATATCAAATAAGTTAACACTGTCAAAAATAGACATTCTTTAAAAATAGATGACATTTTTGAGATGTGTATATCTACTGGACTATACCTTACAATTAGCATATATGTATATTTAAAATAAAATGTTTTATTGAGTCTTGCCGAATTGAAATCTTTCTTTTTGTCAGCTGAGTACTATATGTCTTGAAGATACAGGAAAAGCAAGTGAAATTCTGAATGTTAGGGAGCTGCCTTCAAGGCTATGCTGAGGGCCCCCACTTTTTAAAATTTTTATTTTATTTATTCATTTTTTGTCTGTGTTGGGTCTTTGTTGCTGCACATGGGCTTTCTCTAGTTGTGGTGAGCGGGGGCTACTCTTTGTTGTGGTGCACGGGCTTCTCATTGCAGTGGCTTCTCTTGTTGCAGAGCACAGGCTCTAGGTGTGTGGGCTTCAGTAGTTGTGGCTCACGGGCTCTAGAGCGCAGGCTTGGTAGTTGTGGAACGTGGGCTTAGTTGCTCTACAGCATGTGGGATCTTCCCGGACCAGGGATTGAACCTGTGTCCCCTGCATTGGCAGGTAGATTCTTATCCACTGTGCCACCAGGGAAACCCCTGAGGCCTCTTTTAAGGACTAAAGATGTCGCACTGTCCTAAAGACACACTAAACTCCAAGAGATAGTAGGAAGCTGCAATAACTAAGCCAGTGAAACCAGTACACAAGCCTGAAAGCAAAGCAGTGGGAAGGTGGGGTTTGGGTCTCTGGTATTCCATGAGCAACAGAGCCCCTGCTTTCCTAGATTGCTCTTGATTCAACTTTCTGAGGTTGGGAGTGTATACTCATTTTCTGAGATACCTACTCCCCAAACTCTCCACTTCCATCGGTGTGCTGGTCTGCTCTGTTCCCTCCAATTACCAAGCAGCACACTAAGCAGGGTAGTAGCATGGTTCCCCACTGTTAAAGCTCTCTTGGTTTCCAGAACCAAGAAACAAGAAGCTTTAGAAACAGCTTCATTAGTAGTAGTAGTAGTAGTATTTAGGGAGCAATATATAACCGTCTACTTGTATGTATGAAATTAAACCAATATAGATACAGATGTGTGTGTGTGTATATATGTATATGTGTATATATATATATATATGTGTATGTATATGTATATGTATGTATGTATATATTCACACAGCACCATCTACTCTGACTCTTGGGGTATGTTAGGGAGTTAAGCAGGATTGCAAAATTCTTTTTGCTCTACTAAGGTTTTCCAGAAATGCCTATAAGGGAAGAGGTTTTTGGAAGCAGTGAGAAGAATTCCTAACTTCCTCCTGACAGGCAGGAACCCCAGGATTGAATGGAATTCCTTGTATCACGTGACTATTCTAGCTGGTGTGGGATATGCCTGCATTTCCTAATGGCTCATTCAAGCTTCCAGATTATGGAACCTAATGGTGATCATGCAAGAAGTATCTGGAGAGCGGGAGCAGGCATCTTACTCTGCTAGGCAGCCTTTTAAATTAAGATTATTTTCAGCATAAGATGACAGACCACTAAGCGTTTCTCCCATCCCATCTCTGTCACTTGTACTAGAAGAAGTGTTCTTCAGTCCCCTTGTTATGACACCCCATAACCTTTATGCTTCATTTTTTAAAACCGCTATATGAAATATAAAAGGGATTCCTCCGGACAAAAAAAAAAAGGATCTAAAAACCCTGCAATTGAGGGGACTTATATGCAAAGGGATAAATGTTATTACCCCAAGGGAGAGGACTGTATAAATACAGAGGGGTTTTATATGCATATTAACCTTATTCATCATTTTGGATCTCTTTATTTCTTCCTGTGGACTTAACATCTGGTGTCATTTCTTATTCCAGTATAGCTATATGCCCTTAGGACAACTTCCAGAACTTTCAGTTACTTTTGAATTTTCTTCAGTCAAATTGCTGTTTTGATGGGGGAATTTCTGCCATATTCCTTACCACACCATTACAAAAGCACAGCATGATTGTTTTTCATGATAAAATATATCTCATTTTCTCATTTCCTCCACAAGTTAAAACATTTTAACATTAGTTTTCTTTGGCTCTAACATGCTTGGAATGTACATGGAAATATAGTATGCCTTCAGCCCCTCCAACCTATCATGCCATGGGATTTATGAGAAAAATAAGTTTCCTCAAAGTTTTATCAAAATGACACAGCCTTAAAAGTAGGTGATCTTCCTAGGTTTCTTATTAAAATATACTGTGGGAAGGTTAACCTAATGACCAAAGTTAAAAATGAAAGGACAAAGAAAAGGTCTCAATTTCAGAAATTGTTCAAATCATTGAGATTCTTGAAGACCTTGAGTTATTAATTCATATTACTACTGAAGTGACTAATTTGCATTACTGCTGAATTAATGTAGGAGAAGAGGCAGAGAGACAGAAGTGGATACTTGTTTTAGCAACTTAATTTCTACTCTCCCACTTTTAAGTAAAGAAAAAATAGCTACAGAGCATATAGAGCACCTTTTCCTTCTTCACTTTTTTCTTCACTCGAATCCTAATTATTTAGATTGTGACTGGGCATAGTGAAGGCTGTGAATCAACTCTGGGCACTCTGCTAGGTCATATGCCTACATAATTTTACTTAATCTTCACAACAGTCATGAGAAGTAGGTGTAATGGTTAAATTTATGTGTTAATTTGGCTAGGCTAAAATTCCCAGATATTTGGTCAAACACCAGTCTAGATGTTGCTGTGAAAGTATTTTTTTAGATGTGGTCAACATTTAAATCAACAGACTGAGTAAAACAGGTCACCCTCCATACTATGGGCAGACCTTTTCCAATTAGTTGAAGGCTTTAAGAGAAAAAGATCTAGATCTCCTGAGGAAGAAGGAATTATGCCTCCTGACTGCCTTTGGACTCAAGACTGCAACGTCAACTGTTGCTGGAATTTCCAGCCTGCTGTCCTGCTTTGCAAATTTCAAACTTTCAGACTTGCCAACCACTACAATCACATGAACCAATTATTTTAAATGTATGTATGTGTTTTTTCTGTTGGTTCTGTTTCTCTGGAGAACCCTAACTAATACAGTAGATATTATTATCTCCATATTTTTTATGGAAAAACTGAAGTTCTATAACTTGCTTGGGTCACACAGCTGGGAAATGGTAGTTACCTAAGTCTTAGTAACTCTAACATCTGTGGTTTTTCGTCACCCTAAAAATTATCATGAAAGGAATCTTCATTTTCTGCCCATCTCT